AAAAGGATTTAGATCATTTAGTGAGTTGGGCAAATAAATAGTAAATTGGTTTTAATTATAATAAATGCATGTGGGTTAACATAATTTTTATAAGTATAATTTGGATGGGAATAACCTTAACAGTATATGAAGGAAAGGGATTTTGGCATAATAGTTGATCAGTCTCTAAAGCCATCCAAGCAGTGTGCTGTTGCTAGTGGTAGGGCAAATAGGATTTTGGGTCCAAAGAGGTTATAATTTCATTGTACAGGTCATTGGTTAGGACACATTTGTAATATTGTGTTCAGTCTTGGGCTCCTTAACTTAGGAAAGACATTGAATTGTTTGAAAGGCTTCAGAGAAGGGTTACTAGAATGGTGCCTGGGATGGAGGGGTTTTCATAATAGGAGAGGTTGAAGTCTCTCAAGTTGTTTTTTCTTGAAAAAAGAAGAGTTAGGGGGGATCTGATTGAGAAGTTTAAGATTTTAAAGGGAATTGATAGTATTGATGCATCATCTTTTTTCATATTAACAGTGAGAAAAGTAGGACTAAAGGATACACGTATAAATCTTGGCAGAGTAGGAGTCATCTTCAGCTAAGACAGTTTCATTTTTCTAATAGAGTGGTTGGCCTTTGGAATCGCGTCCTTCAGGCAGTAAATTTAAGTGAGTTTAAAAAAAAACTTGATAAGTATATGAATAATAAGCACTGGCTTTAAGATTTAAAAAAAATATATTTTAATTTAGTTTAGAGGATGGAATAGCTGAGATGGACCAATAGGTCCCATGTTGTCCCAAAACATTATGTTATGTTATTAGAAGTGGATAGCTCATTTCACTGGTTCACAGTAGACCTAATACACTCAAGTGATTAAACACCCTCCAAACTATGAAAGGCATTTTTATCGAGTCAAAAACTATATCATCAATGAATATTTTCCATTATCATACTTAATGAGGATAGGTTTCTTGCTGTTTTCATACTTAAAATAGTTCTGATGAAAATAAAATTAACTAGTACAAAACTCTATGGATATAACATAAACTTCAAAGTTTTTACACAAGCTACTATCATGCTATTTTGAAGGGATGGAGAATTGGTGATATCACATGAAGCAAGTAAGCTTATTTTTGTTTTGTAAGTTATCAGTTAGTTTCATTAAAAGTATTGGTTAAAATGTTTCATATATACAATTTTTATTTTCTTATTATACATTTTTGAGAATTATTTTTCATGGTTAGCTATATGGATTTAAGATTAACCTAAATCTATTGTAAAGAGCTGTATGAACCTCATGATGTATTATTTGGATTACAGCTAAAAAAATATCACTAAAAGGGAGAATACCCTATATGTCATTGACTTTTAATCACTATAAGGGTTAGTTCTGTGACATTGCATACTCCTAGGAAGACCAGTATATTGGGTTGGCTATATAAATTATATGGTTAATGTTTAGATTTGCTCTATGTAGCTAGCTTGTCCTGATCTAAGTGAATGATATTGTATTTTAAAGATGTCAGACAGTTTAAAAACACAATATGTTTGTATTTATATTTAAGTGTCATAGAAATATAAGTTACAAATTACGGTCAAGTCATTTTTTGATAATTTTCCCTTGCCCTGGCCTTGGATGCTCCCAGAGTTTGAGCAGCAGCTAGCCTTTGCAGTTGCTTGGTTGAAAAATTGGGTTAGAGGCAAGTAACATCACTCAAGGTAAACAAGGCCAGTTGCAGTCGGATTCTTCTATGTGTGCCATTTTGTGCGTGAAAAACTGTCAGTTTGTTTATATGAAACAATTCGTTTTTTTTCTGGAAAAATTTCATTTGACAAATGTCGTGAATACAATTATTCATGAGTAAACAACTATGGTTTTTTGCTGTGTTGGTTATGGATGTGGGAACATTCCCAAGGAAAAGGAAAGATCTCTGCATTAGTTTCCACCTAAGTCAGACAGAAAATGGCACATGGCCTGGACAAAGTTCATATCAAGAGCTTGTGATAAATGGAGTTCGAACTAAAGCTGCCATGTATGCAGTGAACATATTTTGGGATCAGACTTTGAAAATAAACTACAATTTGACATGGGATTTGTAAAGAAACTGGTGCTATAGAAAGATGCAGTGCCCAGAATGTATCCAAAGTTTGAGAGAGATCCATCAAGCTCAGTGGGCAGCAGCCAGGCTCATGCCAGTGGCACATCATGTTCTTGTTCACAGATTGATAACATTGATGACAGTCGTGTCCAATCAGTTGTCCGAAAATGAGAGGCATACAAGATAAGCTCAAGTTTAAGCTAATGTTTTATGCACAATATAGAATTGTCAGCAATCATTCAGGTTTTATAAATACACCAGTAGATCTGCTAAAATAAAAAATGTTTAAGAAATTTCACTTTCAGCTATTATTTAACAAAAAAGGGCATGGACAAGCAATTGTCTGTTTTATTTATATATTTTTTATTTTTATAACACTTTTCTATGAAATTTCATTGAACATGTCAATATGCATTATAAAAAATGCTAGATTTACAATATCGAAATATGACCCCAGCTATGTTTGCTTTTCTAGTACTAATGTATACCTAATCATATGCATACAAATTGGAGCATGTGCAAAATACAGTATTGAGAGTCCATCTGTTGATATTAGATCTACATCTAGATATAGATCCATCACTTGAAAAAAACAAATATTGACTAGTATTTAATCACAGATTTACTATATTATCACTCATGTGACCATACTGATGGCTATAAACTTCGTCCCATTTTCATGACATTAGCAGAGTAAACCAGTCTTTTATGGCATTGTAGCATATAACTTTTAAAACATTTCCAAACCAAGAAAGATCAGAGAACCGCCAGTCCTAGTCAACTATGGCCAACGTGTCAACATTAGACTTGTTATTGTCTGCAAGGTCTGGTTCAAACATATATATAGTGCAATTGACATGACACATTATATCTATCTTCCTCTTCAACTGCTGTTGCCATTTTTGTTTACTTTGTATGACATAAATTTGCCCACCCAGTTCGCCATGTGGCGCTTCCGCTAGTTTTTCTTCAAACTAGCCAACTGTCACCAAATATGGCTTAGAGTCACATGAGTTTGAGTGTTTTGTGACTTTTTTTTAAATCATATTATTTTTAGTGTTATACAATATACACATTCAAGCACAAAAAATGTTATTTTGTTTGTGCTCTTTAACATAAAGTCAAATTAATTTCAGTTTGGAAAAAAATAAAAACCAACAACCAACCTTCCAGCCTCTTCACTAGAACTATCTCTCCAGTTTCTCCTTTCTATATCACTACTGTCTGATGACTCTGAGTAGCTGATGTTCTGTTCCTAAATTTATATAAAAAACACACTAATTATGGTAGGCTAAAGGAAAACATTACAAATCTCTTTCAAAGAGATGCTGATAAGTTAAACCACTAACCTAATTATCTTTGTAGAAATAAATATCACAACTTTGTGATATAAATGTTCAGAAATTCAGCTGTGTCAGTATTTTAAAAACCAAAGAAAAAAGTCAAACAAATGGACAATTATTATAACATCATTATTACTATAACAAAAGAACCAGCTAACACTGCACTATATTAAAATATTATTATACTTTACTCATTAATACATGTTATTGCCAAGAATGGCATATGAAATTATGTTTATTCAGAGTAACTATTTGTAACAATGCTAGTTTGTTTGTTAAATATAAAGTTACACAATAGTATGTCTGTACTCTGCCTACTGTGACTACTGAAACCCAATGTTTATTGTTATATGCCCTCAGACTTATCCCTGAACCACCAGGAGGCATAACAATGTTAGAAAACACTGTATTATAATTTTTAATGCAATGTGATAAACCTATATATATGAAGTCAAGATAAACCCTCTGCTGTTATATCAGACTCATATGGCCCATAAATAATAAATTTCATGAAAAATTAGATATAAGACAAGTAAATATAAGTTTACCATAACTGAGAAACTATGTAATTTATACCTATTTCTTAACTGTTTCTTGTGCCAATTCAGTTTAACAGAAGAAAATGTCAACAAAAGAAAAATTTGATAATCAAATAACAAGTCAAACTTGAGGTTAACTTTAAATCCAATGCCACCATTGTCTGAAGAACACTTGAATAGTGAGCTTATGATGAGAAACATTAAACTTAAGTGTTAATAAGAGGCAGTAACTCTTAGATTCAACTGTGAAAATTTTTTATCAGAAAAAAACAAAAACTAAAGCAAATGTAAATATTGTGTTATTTCAAAACTTATCAAATGAAACTGAAGACAATCTCTTTGCCAACAGAGGAAAATAAAGTCTCAGTGATGGAAGCTTATAAATAAACATGATTAAAATGTCTCCTTTGAATGAGTTATATATTTACATGTATGAAAAATAATTTACTCATTTGAACACATGAAAGTTTAGAACTTTTCATTGAACGTATATTTAAACTTTATAACTCACATTTTACTTATGCGTTACTATTAATTTCATTGGTGTAACAATCTTGGCTATTACAAAATAAATTTAAATCATAACGTTTAATACAGTTTTCACAGTACAATACTTCTCTCAACTAAACAATGAGATTTAAAACTTGTCTTCCAAAACTCAAGATTTTCCTAATCAAATTACACTGCAACACAGTAATTTTGTTAATTAATTACCCATATAGCTAGGTTTGTTTAATACATAATTAAACGTAGTGAACTAGTTACTATAAGATACATACCTCATTTTCAAAAAACTTTTTTTCCAAATGCTCATAAACTAAAACATTTTATTTGTGATTACTCATCTTCTCTTTTCAGTGGTGATTTGTGCATTAAATACATAAATAAAGTTAAGTTTACTTTGATATATTGCAGTAGTTTGTTGTTTATTCTAAGGAAAGTTTCACATACTTAAACTTTTTTTTGTTTTATTTTCCTTTTGGTTCTGTTTGATTCGTAGACAACTTACTATCAGTAACCCGTTTACATAATCTACTCAATATATGTTGGTGCTAAAGTTTCTTGACCTAATAACAGTACTTTCATTAATCCAATGTTAATGTCAGATGTTGCAAAAGTTTTATTTCTGTACAGCCTTGAAACTTTGGAACTTGTGTTCTTATGGTTGATAATTTCATAGAACACTAATAATTTTTAATATCATTTTTAGAAAAGAATACATCTCAAACATAATTCTGAAGTATGTTTTAAATACATGCTAACTTAATGTTATATTGCTATCATAATATTCATTACTACTAAGTTATCTCACCAGTCTTGTCCTCATATTTTGTTGTTGCTGTTGCTTACGAGTACCACAGCGTTGACTTTTCAATTTAACGCTATCGGTTTCTTCCTATATTAAATAAAGCAAATAAAGAATGTTTTTACGTTGTGATTGTAATAGGCAAGTTTAAATTAAATACTGTGAAACATGTGTCAAGCTTAAAATTTTATTTCTGTCTAACCTTCTGACTGAATCTGTAAGGTATATAAGTTTCTACAGTGAGAAAACAAAAGTATCTTCAAACTGAAAAGCATATTTCAACTTTAGCAGGAGTATTAATTTACCATGTATGTGTTTCACAACCACTCATTTAACTCTTGTAAGTGTATTTTCACTTTCAATTATCTAGTCATTACGAACACCAAATATTACATAAGGCTAAACATTGACGGCTGCCCAATTTTCCAGGTCAATAAGACATTGTCTGATTCAGGCAAGTATTTCCAATCATCTACCAAGATTACATAAGGCTCAGCAATGATGGCTGCCCAATTTTCCAGGTCAATAAGACAATGTCTGATTCAGGCAAGTATTTCCAATCATCTACCAAGATTACATAAGGCTCAGCAATGATGGCTGCCCAATTTTCCAGGTCAATAAGACAATGTCTGATTCAGGCAAGTATTTCCAATCATCTACCTGTCTTGAACTGTCAACCAAAGAAAAGTTTCTTGCCTTTGGTTTGTCTGTTCAGAATTAACAGATAGTTATTTTATGTCTTGAAAAGACAAAATGATTAAAAATTGCAAAATAAAATAAATATTTCTAGTATTGAGTTTGTGTTAATCCATGAGCATATTACTCTGCACATCATCTAGTTTTGTAAGCTATCAGATTTTGAGGGAAATGCATTACTTTGTCAATATGCTGTCTTGAGTGGCACTCAACAATACTAAACTTTTTAAATCCGTACTTTTTGCGAGTTCTGCCAAAATTAGTTTCAAGATACCCTAATAATTATCACCATACCATATAAACTTTCTGGTCTATTTATGAAAGGTGGAAAATAATATGGTTTGGATTAGCTTTCAGACAAAGAGATATAAATGTTATCGGATATTGTCACCATGCTATGGGTAAATCAGGATTTTCTGCTGAATGCTGGCAGCATCCACTCAGGTTTAATGAGTTAATAAATATAAATCATCAGTTATTATTTTTCAGACAAGTGATTCAATGGGATTGTAATAATGTTTCCAAATGATTTGTGCAGTGACTGAAATATCAATTCTGAATAAATGCATCAAAGCAATATGCTCTTTGCTTTTTTTTGTCATCTGATGAAATAACAGAATAAGTTGTTTTAAGACAATAGTAGAAGTACTGTTTTCACAACTTTTAAATTGTTGTGGTATTATAATACAACAAAAATGTGATGACATGTGGGACAAGTGCATATCAAAATTGGGGAAGTAAGAAATGGCATCTACTTGTCCTACAGGATAAGTTATCTATAAAGTTAACATCGTGATTTGTTGCAGCTAAAGTATAGCACCAAACGATACAAATTTATTTTCATTTTTCCATTAACAAAAAGAAAATAAAGAGAGACAAAATTTAATTCCATCATTGTTTGTTTACTGTCAGATAATCCTGTAGAGATTTATTGTAAGAAATGTCAAAAAAAGGTACAATTTGGACAGCAGTTTAAGGTTGCAAGAAGGTTAAGTGTTTGCAAAAGCTTGGTACCCAGGCTCTGGAGAAAATATGAGGAGACAAGAGATACTGCAACATGTCCAAGTCTGTCCTAAAGAGCCACATCATCTCAAAATGACCATTGTTTGACTCTAACTGCCAGATACCATAGAGTCATTACCACTTGCCAATTTGCACAAGAGTTATCTATAGCTACAGGAAGATCTGTATTGAGACAGACTGTAGCCAGAAGACTTCATGAAAGTGGTCTGTATGCCAGATGTCCAATAGTTTGTGTCCCATTAATGTCCTCCCAGAGAAAGGCTCATTTATCCTGGTGTCACCAACACCTGGAATGGAATAAAAAACTGGTGCAGCAATCTCTTCAAGGATGAGTTAAGATTTTTCCTGGAGACTGATTCTCAGTAAAGATTCATCTTGAGGGAGCGGGTAACTCATTATCATCCCTCAAATACCACAGAATGGGACTATTACAGTTGTGGTGATTTCTTGGTCTGGGTAGGCATCATGATCAAAGGCTACACAGACCTCCACTCCTTGGAAAGCAGGTCTTTGACTAGTCTGTGATACAAAGATGAGGTAGCGGCAGAGGAACTCATATCTTAACATTATTCCGAACTAACCACCCCCTCAAGATCGAAGAGAATGATCCAAATAAAAAACTTAGGAATCCAGTGAATTGCTATTCATGATCCAGTGATCGCATAAAGACCACTGAAGGGATTTCTTGTGTGCTTGTATCAAAGGCATGAGGGATTTGAGTTATGCCCACATTCCCAAAAGAGAAAGAACCATCCGTGCAGTGGGAGGAGACGTGAGTAAGAGTCAGTCTTCCTGTTCCATAGCATGTAGCCAGATGGGAGTCAGTTGAGCCTGACTGAGATACATGATGAAAAAAATACCCAGACTGATGACATATTGTGTTGGAGAAAAAATATATGTCTCAGCTCTGATAATGAAGCCTGCCTTGGTTGTTTTTAGAAGAAGAATCCAGGTGTGACATTCTGACAGTTGACGAGATGGTGCCAGCAGTAACCAGTCGTCCATAGAATGGTGTGTGCACAGGGCTAGGCAGTGGAGGTGACGAGAAAACAGTGATGATTTAGCAGAATCCATATGGTGCCAATGCTGGTCCAAAGGTAAGAACCCTGAACTGCAGTACCTGACCCTTGTGCACAAAAACACTGATAGTGTTGGGATGCCACCATTACGACAATGTGCAGATAGGAGCCAATGACATCAAACTTGAACATCCACAAAGAAGTATGTTTTGCAAGAATGACATCTCCCCAGAGTATAGACTTGGGATACACACTGAAGCATTTACAAGCTGATGACATCGATCTTGAACATCCACAAGGAGGTATGTTTTGGAAGAATGACATCTCCCCAGAGTATAGACTTGGGATACACACTGAAGCATTTACAAGCTGATGACATCGATCTTGAACATCCACAAGGAGTTATGTTTTGGAAGAATGACATCTCCCCAGAGTATAGACTTGTGATACACACTGAAGCATTTACAAGCTGATGACATCGATCTTGAACATCCACAAGGAGGTATGTTTTGGAAGAATGACATCTCCCCAGAGTATAGACCTAGGGATACACACTGAAGCATTTACAAGCCCAGTCTTTCATCCAATACGAGAGGACACACACACACACCTGAAAATTTCTCTTTCCCTTCTACTCTGTAGTATTCCCCTGTACACACAGATTTCCTACATGATAGCCAGTTAGGACCTGCTAACAGGAGATTTGATGGATATCAAGTTATGGATTGTTTGTCTATGTATTTCAACAAACTCTGACTAAGTTAATCATGAGGAAAGAGTCGAAACACAGAAGTTTACCACAATCTTTACTAACAACAATCACACTTACAAAATGCCAAACAAAACGGAGGCAAGTGGGTCTAATGGTGAGTGTGTTGAGTTGCTAAACAAAGGAGAACCTGGCTTTTAATACTAAAAATACAATAATACCAAACAAGGCCAGGACACACTTGTCATTTTTCAACCACATAACCTTTTATCCACTATGACTTAAATGAAAATCGGGGAAGAGACCTAATACCATTAACCAAATTTTCCAACAGAAAAGACAGACTTCTACTTTGGGACATCATGCGTCCAAATTGATATGAAAGAAAAACATAATACCCATAAGATTTACATATATATAATTTCAAACTACATTGTAAATATATGTCTTATTATATGGGGGGACAAAAAAGACAATAAAACATACACAAAGAATTTTAAATCACAGTTTCAATATTGATCATTTTATTTAATAAAATATTGTAGTATACCTCTTTTGTTTCACTTATTGGCTTCTTTCTCTTTTCACCATTGAAGTGTGACAGTTCCTGATCAGCTAACATTTGTCTGAATCTCTCCTCTTCCCTGATTTGAGGGGGGCACATAGGCTTGACCACTACCCTCTTTAGCCACGAAAGTGAACCAGAAAATTGACCACGAGACTGCCAATTACCACTAGACTGTCTAACTCCTTCAATGTCTCCGTTACGTCTCATACCAACCCGACTATGACCTGTAAAGATCACATTCAAACTCACAAAAATGTTTTGAATAATATCAAATTTATCTAAAATCACTGTTTATTTTTTTAAATGTCAGAAAGTTAATTCTAGAAAACATTCATTCTAGTAATGACTGAGAAGAAATTATTGGAATTTATTGTGTCTAAGGTTTATGTCTCAAAATCTTCTTAGTATTTTGACAAAGTTGTTACATCATAACATACAGAAAACCATATAAATAATTAAAAAGTAATGTGTGCATACACTTAAAGCTATTTAAACTTCATTAAACTATGCAAAAATGAAATTAAACGGAGAGAAATACAGACAGTATTACTATACATGTAAATAAGAGGATAGTGTAGATAGTATTGTGCATTGCAAATGGAAAGGTATTTGGGGAATGAATCTGTCATCCCTCAGAGCTTCATCTCAGACAGCAGTGTTTATGTATTAAGGTTTTGTGTTTGAATTTCTTAATTTGTTTATAGACACTTAAGAGTACAGATTCTGTCCCCCCGTTGAGTTAATACTTGTTCCCTATACCCAGGTTTTGAAAACATCACTAGATCTTACTAGATAAGTTATCAGTTTGTCATTTTTTATCACACCGTCTAGTACAAAAGACACTTTGAGCCGAACGGTGTGATAAAAAATGACAAACTGATAACTTATCTAGTAAGATCTAGTGATGTTTTCAAAACCTGGGTATAGGGAACAAGTATTAACTCAACGGGGGGACAGAACCCATCAAACACCTCTAGTACAAAAGACACTTTGAGCCAAAGGTGTTTGATGGGTACCACATGTTATAGAATATGATTAACCTACTTAGGTTTAAACTTATAGTCATTGAGACACCCTAACTGGCCATCAGGTTTGTTCAGAATGCTACGTATCTAATCACTTACATGAATAGTCCAGATATGTCACATAACTGTTTAATTATTTTAAATACACAGCACAGCTTTTACATCGTATAAACTTTGTACATTCAAGTATAGAAAATACCACAACCAAAAAATGTTTCATACATGAAGCACAATTTTTTTCTCCCTAGCAATTCAATTCAAATGATTTATGAATTTTTTATTAGCTAAAGATAAAAACAGCATGAACAGTTTTGTTAAAGTAATAAGGTAACAAGGAAAAGTTGTTTCAATTATTTTTAATGGCTCTACCTGTTGGACTAATATTCTATAACTTTAACAGGAAGAAGACAATTACATAAAAATATGTATAAAGTTCACTGAATTCAATGATTATGTATTTTTCTGTGTGAGTTGCTAGTCAGTTGTATACGAAACTTGGAAGTATAACTTCTAAAATTCATATCAGCCAGAATGTGCAGCTGTCGGTGTGCTAAAATGTTAGAAATCATCAAACAGGATTACAGTCACTTTACTATATCCATTATGGCTGTGTAGTGTGCTCTTCGTGAAAGTTGGTACTTTGGGAAGACTGGGATACTTAACCTGTACATAATGCTAAAAAATGCTCGGTTCCCTTCACCTGGTATTCAACCTTCAGCATTTTAATCTTGATGATTGGTTACCAATTTTGAGAAAAGCCCCTTCATGCAAATTTATAGTGGCAAAATATGGTTTTGGATGCAATCAGGTGAATAATTTAGCTATGAAGCACTTGATGTATGACCCATTTATCTATGAAGTGTCTGCACAGTTCACTGCTCAAAAATATCAATAGATCTTTGTAAATGTTAAATGAACTCGACAGTAAGTTTGATTAAAGATTACTCTATAGTTGTTTTTAAACAATTTTCATTACCCTTGGTTTTATACATGTATTCTTACAAATGTATAAAAAAAAAATTTTTAAATATATGTATAAATCATTCACTATTCTTAAAAGAGTAATTTGTATGAAATACTTTATCAGTGATGATTTTAATTTATGTTTTTTGTTCTAGCTTGATTTGAACCTTTGAAAATGTCACAATACTTACAAATCATATCACATAGTTGACTGTGTGTGCAAAAATATTAAGACTGAAATCCCCATGCTTTAGTTTAATAACAAAAAATAAATAAAAAATGCGAGAAAAACTTAATAGGTTCACAAAAAATATATATTTAAAACAGAAAATAATAATTCTTACCAGATAATGATCTTTGGCCGCCAAGCACGCGAGGTGAAATGGGTCCCTGAACATTTCGTTCACTTTCTCTTGCTGCACCTGAAGCTCTCGAGGGATTTACTCTACGACTGTTCTGTTCTTGTTGAAGTCTTTCAATCATGTCATCAATGGTTGGGCGTTGTTGATCAGCTTCCACTGGCCTTATTGGTTCCAGTATTTCTGCTTGTCCTTCAACAGAAATGGTTAAGCAAAAGCATAAATATTATTTTAAGTTTTCTTTTTCTTATAATAATTTTAAAACACATTTAGTGAAACTGCATTTTTCTAGACATCATGAATTATTTAATATATTATATCATATTACCATCTAATAATAAAATGAAATGTTTTTTTTTCTCATATATTCACAAAATGTTCTGAGAATACTGCATTATCTGACAGCATGATAATATTTAATTAAAGCAAATTTTATTGTACAAGTCTCTGATGTAGGTTTGATCAAGCATATTGAAAACCACGTTTTTATTAATCCAAAGAAAATTAGTTTCAGTAATGTAATTTCACAAACGATGGACTTTAAAATTGAAAATTGTTTTTTAACCTATTTACACAATATATTTCACTACATTTCAGGTTTTGTGTTATATTTTTATTCTATGGACTTTTCTAAGTGCTCACAAATTAATAACCACCATACATATCACTTCATTATCCTATTGTTATCACAGTGAGTTAAAAATCAAATTAAATTACCTCAATTTTCATGAATAAATTTTTACTTGTTAAACTAAATAAGTTGATGTAGTCTAAATATTTCTCTTTAGAAACTCTAATATCAAAAACAAATAAAACATAGAACATTTGGTTGGATATTACATTAAGCCTTCTTAAGTTATCTTAGAATCAATCAAAGATAAATAAAAATGTTTGCTAAGTAAAACTTAACAACCTCAAGTTGTATTTAACTCTTTTTTTACTATTATCTATTATTTATTTAAATTCTAGAGGAGTTTAATACCAGCAAAGCACACACTCTCCTCTCTCCAACTGTGGAGTTTCATCGATCTCTTTTAATTTTTACTTTACTATTATTAAATATTGTGTAAAATATTTTATCATTTTTATTTTAAATAACACTGTCCAATAAAAAATAAGATAATTTTAATACTATTTCTTCTATTACTATTATACATTTGAGGAGTTCAGTACCAGCCCTGACACAGATTCTCACTCCTCCAATAATCTCCTCAAGTTCCTCCTAGTTATAATGCCTAATTCAATTTAAGTAACACTTGACCTTCCCATATATTTTTGCAGTCTTGCCACTTCAATAATTTCAACCTTTTCCTTCCAGTTAATCAGTATGACCTCAAGTCTTACTGATGGTAGGGTAAAATTAAGCAAAAACAAATATTACAGTTGACCCTGCTTATATTGATCTAATAGTGCCAATTTCTAGACGTGACTTAATGATGTAGGGAATGTTCTTTTGGCAGGGGTTAAATATGTTGCTATTTTAGAGTGCAAATAAAGTCTAAAGTGTACATAAACAAAGTTGCTGAACTTGTCAACCTTACAGTCTTTATTTCTCTCCTAATGGGCAAGGGCTCTTCCAAGACAACAATCCACCATACTTGTATTATGTGAAATTGGTTCCCAAAGCACGACAGTCACCTTCCTTAGCCAACACAATGACTGGATTTAAATCTGACTAAGCATTTTGGAGATTAATTTGAACATTCACAAGAGTAATCCTCTGTAAACTAATGTCAGACCACACATCCTTACACATTCACCATAATAATCCTCTGTGAACTAATGTCAGACCACACTTCTTTACACATTCACCAAAGTAATCCTCTGTGAACTAATGTAAACCCACACTTCTTTAAAAATCCACCATAGTAATCCTCCATAACTAATGTCAGATCATACTTATCAACATACTCATCATAATTACCCTCTGTGAACCAATTATAGACCATACTTCTATACACATTCATCCTAGCTAATGTCAGACCAAACTTCTTGGTATATTCACCATAGTAATCCTCTTTGAATTAATGTCAGACCAAACTTCTTGGTATATTCACCATAGTAATCCTCTTTGAATTAATGTCAGACCACACTTTTCAACACATTCATCATAGTAATTCTCTGTGAACTAATGTAAGACCACACTTCTATACACATTCACCATAGTATCCAATGATAGACCATACTTCTATACACATTTACCATAGCAATCCTCTGTGAGCTAATGTCAGACCATATTTTTCAACACATTCCCCATAGTAATCCCCTCAGACCATACTTCTCAATAAATTCACCATAGTAATTATTTGTAAACTAATTTCAGACAATACTTCTGTACAAATGGGCCACAACTGAATATGACAGACACATTCCAGCATCATGCTGAGCCAAGTTCATGTCAAGGTGAAAAACACAAAACCTCAGTATTAGCTGAGGAATCCTAAAAAAGTGGAGAGTTAATAACATTCACTTATTTGTTTTAGCTTTAGTATTAAACCATATATAAATAAATAAAAATTACAAAACAATAAGAAATATCATGATGGTTAACCCGACGACTACCGGCTACTAACTTTCTTAGTACTCAATGCAAGTCTTGCTATATCTCATTTCAACAATAAAGCTAGTGGATGAAATTGTTTCAAACTTCATAAGAACTTTCATAAATGCACATAGTTTAAGAA